CGCACACATACAGAAACGAATATACTGTACGAAATTAATAAAAAAAATTAATCCCAGATTAAAATTGTTCTTTTTTTTCATTGTTTTTCTTATTAAGCATTAATATTAATTAATATTTTTGAGAGTTAAATGGGTAAATCACTGGCATTAAAGATAGCGTAAACATTTGTTCTATTATTTATAATATCAAATATATAAATAAGCGAATCAACCCTAATGGAACCAAATTTTTAAAAGATTGCTGCACTGACTTAATTTGTTCCAGATAGAATTTTTGTTAAATTATACAAAATGAATTTAACATATATACAAATATTTAATTAAATATTTTTAAAATTTACATTTACAACCTTTTTGAAGGATTATTTAAAACCAAACAAAAAGCAATTACACACAACTGTTTAAAGACATATGCATAATGCACTAAACTAATAGCATATAAAAGTTATATGGATGAAATAATTCAAAATAACTTCCAATACTTTACAACCTTATCATTTCTAGGTAATGCCAACGCCAGAGGACGCTCAAAAGCAAGCGCATATTGCTTTGATTTCTTCGCAATTTCTTGATCAAATATCTGAAAATAGAGCAACATATTGTAATAAATAGAGAACATTTTATATACAATTCAAAATACATCTTCTTCTTTAATGTCCAAGACTGTTGATAAATCCCATTCCGTTGTTGGTAGTGGCTGTGATATAAATTTAGCTGTATTTGCAACAGAGGGTACAGCATGCTTTTGTAGCGCAATTATTTCCCACAACGAACTTTCTATTGCATTCGATTTAGTTGGTTCACGTTCTTCCATTACATATGGATCTCGAGATACTTAACATGTAAATATGACAAATTCGTTCGAAATATTATTCTTTTTAATGTTTTTAACTTTAATATTGAAGGCCGACTTACATTCAGCAGGGGAATATGCACATATTAAACGCTTTAAGCCAGAATGCCGTAGTAATAGATTACCAATGAAGTACATAACTATTATAGCGTCTTGCGGTGGTGCAATCAGACTTAAGCGCGCCAACCGCTTAGCAAAAGCAGCAACTAAACTTTCAGGCAAATGTGTAGAACTCAAAAAAATGTCCGCCAAATAAAAAAGTCTAGCTTTATATTTAGTGTGGAATATTTCCGGTTCAAACATTGAATAAAGTTTCTCATAAATGTTAGGATATGTTATGTTGTGTTTTTGAATTAATGTAAATATGCCTTGTAATGCTAATAAACTTACAGCGCCACCTAAAAAATTTATCTATTTTAAAATATAAAAACGATAAAAACCGTTATAGTTTAATATTACCATAGTCTAGTGAATCCATTAAAAAATCAGTTAAAAGAACCGGTTTATCCAGATGTACCATAAAACGTTCCAACAATACTATTAGTAATTGTCTATGCACACTTTCCTGTATATTATCAATCCACTGCATTAATGAATTCCACACTCGATTAATCCATTTTTTTATTAAAACATAAAAATTATCTATAGGTAAGTTTTTAAGCGCACATAATATTTTCACATCTTCTTGCAATGCTTTCGTAACTGGAATTGCATTTATAAATTCCAAGTAATTTAAAGCAAAAGTCTCATTTGCAAATAATGTTTTATTTCCCAAATTATGAAGCAATTTCCAGCTATAAAACACTATGTCCATATACTCCGCATACTCTTTAAATCGATATATTATTGCAGTTTGCTGCTTATGAGGCGACAATATTTTTTTTAATATATTTTGCAATCTTTTCTTTGGGAAAGGATATGTATTATTTTTAGATAACGGATATTTCCCTTCTGTGGACAACAATTTCATGCAAGTAACAACAGCCTGCGCGGCCTCATGCGCTTTCTCATGTTCAATATTTTTCAATATTAAGTCTAATGCTTCTTCATACCGCTCAAGCAGCCACGAATGATATTGAGTTTCTGTGTCATCTGCTAATAATTACAATAAAACAAATATTTGTTTAAATAAAAATAAATTTGTTTAATTTTTCGTTGTATACCTTTTGTTGTCGATGTGTTGATTTCTACATTCATTTCATTTCTCTTTAGCAACTCCTTGAAAATCACTTCTAAAGTAAGAATCGGTGCTGTAGTAGGTAAATTTTCATCCATGCATTTCTGCAAAAGTATACAAAAATATTAAAATAATTTTAAATAGTAAATAAACACTTGTCAACGTTTACTTACTTGTAAATATGCAATTATATCGACAAGATTATTGGCATGTCGCCTAGAATTAAGAAAATCGTTTGCCTTGGAACGCAACTCTTTAGATATATTTTTATTATATTGTGAAATATTTGTTTTCGCATCAATATCCATCATAGCTTATCAAGAGGCTTAAATATGTTATTACATAAAAATTATATATTTGTTGAAAATTTGTTTATTCGCTTAAATCACAATTGATACAATATTAAACGTGGTCCTTATTAAACTATTTTAAATTTGTATTACTTTGGAAGAATTTATAAACACTACGTACTGCAACCCCGACAACTGCTGCTAGCAGAGTTGTGTTAAGTAAATTTATACAAAAATAGAAATTTTTAATAGAAATTTTATTAGTTTTAACGGAATAAATATATATCTTATATATAAAATAAACACTGTCAAAATGTTAGTTACCGTACTCCTCCGAAACGGCTTTACCGATTTTTACCAAATTTTATATTCGTATTCAGTAAGTCTGAGAATCGGCTACTATCTATTTTTCATACTGCGAAAGTGATTAGGGTGGCCCTATCCAGCAAAAATATCTTTATTGCTTTAACAAAAAATTTTTTATTTTTTTGACATAAATTTTTTTATATTTTTGAAAAAAAAAACTTGCTATGATATGAAAAGTTGTCTATGAAAATATTGAATTCATAAAACTGCCCCCTAATTTCTGCACTATCGTTGATTCCCAAAATGCTCTCATTGACCGCGTATTTCCAGATGTACACATACAATACATAAATCATGGGTGGCTGGCAGAAAGAGCCATTAGCAGCAAAAAAACGTGGACGTTGATGAATTAAACTTCAAGATAAAACAGACATTGCCAGGCGACTTAATATCATACAAATCGATCGATACAGTTTGTGATACCAACGAAGTTGTAAACTATCCAGCAGAGTTTTTAAACTCACTGGATTTGCCAGGCATGCCACCACACATTTTACGACTGAAAGTTGGATCACCGATTATTTTACTTCGGAATTTGAACCCACCATGGCTATGCAATAGTACGCGATTGGTAATTAAAAAATTGATGAAAAACATTATCGCAGCCACAATTTTGAATGGCAAGTTCCGAAACGAAAAAGTTTTATTGCCACGAATTCCAATGATTCTCACAGGCAAGCCAATTTAATTCAAACGCGTTCAATTTCCTATTAGATTGGCATTTGCAAAGACCATCAATAAGTCACAAGGCCAAACGATGTCTATTTGCCGTCTTATATATAAAATTTCCATGTCACAATGTTAGTTACCGTACTCCTCCGAAACGGCTTTACCGATTTTTACCAAATTTTATATGCGTATTCAGTAGGTCTGAGAATCGGCTACTATCTATTTTTCATACCGTTAAAGTGATTAGGGAGTCCCTACCCAGCAAAAATATCCTTATTGCTTTAACAAAAAATTTTTTATTTTTTTGACATAAATTTACATCCACTTCGTTTCTTCGTCTTCGCCTTGCATGGTAGATGGAAAATGTACTAAAAATTTTTCTAAAGATTTGACTAATGATACTATAACAATACAATATCGTCGAAGAAATCCCGATAATGGGGGACAATGGCGGGTGGTGCCGTATACGCCTCTGCTAAGCAAGACATACAATGCTCATATTAATGTTGAGTTTTGCAGTTCTGTGAAGAGCATCAAATATATAAGTATGGCCATAAAGGCAGTGATATGGCTGTGTTTAGAGTAGAAAATACTAATGTAAATGCTCCTCCAATGAACAAAAACGGTGAAATTACGCTCTACCAAATTGGTCGGTACATCAGCTCCCATGAAGCTGCTTGGCGTATCTTCGGTTTTCTAATTCATGAAGGGGATCCAGCAGCTGTTCAGTTAGCCGTCCATCTTAAAAACGGTCAGCGTGTATTTTTCACGAACGAGACAGTGATTGATCGTGGTACAAATCCACCTAAATCTACACTCACTGCATTTTTTTGTGTAATAGTACGGATGATTTTGGTGCCTTTGCAAGAACATTACTCTATTCACAAGTACCACGCTATTTCACATGGGCTCAAACAAAAAAATGATGCCCCTCAAGCAAGTTTCACCAGTTGATGCATGTCTCAATTTATTTAAATCGAACGCTTATTTACAGTTAATCCAAAACACACTGAGTGCTTTTATCTTCGACTGTTGTTGGTTAATGTTACTGGCTCATTATCATTATTATTATTTATAGTCAATCCAAGACAATTTAAATTTGAAGATACAACAGTTGTTGCTAGGGAACTTGGTATCATACAAATCTATTGATTTTAAATTATTAATTTAATAAATAAACTATAATAACTTAAAAATAATATTGTTTGGCGTTTGTTATTTTTATTTTCCTTTCCGTTCATAGCGCTCCATGCCTATTTCATGCATATACCACATACTTACACACTTATAATAAGTAAGTTACTTTTTGTCTACACTAGAATTTATCTAGAAACTAGAAATAATTTCTAAGGCAAAACAACGTTTGTCGGGTTATCTAGTATATTATATATAAATATATGAAAAAAATTATGAATTTTAAAAATGTTTATACATTTTTTAATCAAATATCGTTTAATTTTGTTGCCGATTCATGTAATTATATACAGTAAGAACAGAAGTACAAAATATTACGACTCTATAGATAATTCAACATAGTGGTGAATATACAAAAATTGTAAACAACCAAGTGCTGCACATGTGTTAAAATCAACAAACAATAAATAAAAAGGAATCATTGT